TCTTCCAGCTGAGCCCCAGACGGACTTTTCCCCTCCTGAGGAAAGAGCATCTTCCCACACAAACAGCCCGTTTCTCTCGGAAACACCGGCAGCCCACAGCACAGGGAGCGTTTTCACCAGCTGCACCGCCACACGGACACCAGGACTCCCCTCGTCTGCAGAAACACCAGGGAAGAACCTCCGCCATCCCTCCCAGCCCACAGGAGATTCCTGCTGATTCCCAGTCATTCCTGGGATTTCCAACGAAGCGGCTCCTCACCTGGGAATAATACGGCACTGAGAGGAGCTCGAGCGCTCAAACTCGGAGCGTCGCTTAGCAACTGGCGCAGCAGCAGTGTCCGGAGGACGAGCCGGAAGCGGGTTTTGGCACCAGTTTTGCTCTTTTATTATCAGCTCATGAGAATAAAGTCAATTTAAAACATAAAAGTCAATTTCTCTCCCTTATCTGTGGAAGCTGTTTCCGCCAGGGAGTAAAAAAAAAAAAAAACACAAACGCGCTATGGTATCTCGCTGTTTCAGCTTTCGATCTCAAAATTAGGAGATATAAAGTCTTAATTACAGGAAATAAAGTCGTAATTCTGAGGTTTTTATGTCGCAATTGCGAGATATAAACTCATTATTTTGAGATACAATGTTGCAATTGCGAGAAATAAAGTGATACTTTTGAAATCATAAATGAATCTGTACTGTTATAGACTGTACTGAGTCCTGTCTGTATGATACCCATCAAAACAAGCACACAGTGTATATAAATGTGTATATACACACACCTGAAGAAGGCTCCACGGCCGAAACGTTGTGTTCTCTTTCTTCTTTTTTTCAGCATGGAATAAACCTATTACTTGTTCCTTTGCAGCCTACGCATGCCGACGCAGCTACCCACCTGAACTACTATAAATGAGTCTGTACTGTTATAGACTGTAGTGAGTCCTGTCTCTAGGATACCCATCACAACAAGCACACAGTATAAACACATGTGTGGCTCATCTAACACAAAGCAAAAGGCAGAGTAGTCAAAAAGATATAAAAGGTTGTGTGTCCAATAAGAGTCTGTACAGGTGCATACAGGGGCACAGCGGACTTCTTCTACTCCCTCCAAGAGGAAATATTGCTCCCATTAAAGAGCCATGTTTTTCTTCAGAAAGGCACTACAGAGAGACCCCTAGACTGACCCTCTGTCTCCCACAGAAGAGATAGAGACTAGAGTCAGCTGTAGACCAGACTGCGTTCCCTACTGACAGACCAGAACCTTGTCACACTTTCTAGAGCAGCTTTATTTCTCACTGCTCTGTTCCTGGTCAAGTCTGTAATAATCCTGTTGTGTGTCACATTGTATCTCCCTGACATCTTTCTGTGAATCTCTGCCTCTCTTGCCTTTTCCTCATATTGCTGCCTGAGTTCCTCTATTTCTTTAATGTATCTCTCTACAGTCTCTCTCTGTCTCTCCACAGTCTTTCTGTGTCTCTACAGTCTCTGTTAGCTCCAGTCTCTCTGTGTCTCTCCACAGTCTCTCTCACCTCCTCTGTCAACTCAATGCAATTCAAGGTGCTTTATTGCCATGACCGATTAGTACAATTAGTATTGCCAAAGCAAAACAAACACAATTAATATAAAACAAAAATATACAGACATTTACAATAAAGACATAATCATAAAATATTTACATATAAACATATGGAGCAAAATTGGAGACAGGCTCACTGTTCCTCAGGCTGTGACAGGATATCACATACTGGGCTGCCAGTTCAACTGAGTTCCCTCCTCCCTCTCCCAGTAGGATTGGGACCTGTTGTGATTCTGGCATGTGTGGGAATTCTAGGATTAGATATGTAAATTTGGGGAAGAATGTTTCTCTAATCCCAGAATATTTATCACAATGCAGTCTCTCTGTGTTCCTTTTCTGTGTCTCTCAGTTCCTCAATCTCTGTCCTGTGGTCTAGTTTGGAGTGTCCACCACAGTCACCCGTCTCCCGGACACTTGTCCTGTCCTCTTCCGGCTCTCCTGAGTGACTGCGGAGCTGCTGGCTTCAGAGGGAAACTCCTCTGAGCCCAGGATGGTGTTTCCTGCTGCGCTCTTCCCAGCACCAGTCCTACCAAACAGCACCAGTTTCAGATCAGAGGTGTGGGGCTGGAGTATGGGTTCAACTGCAGGGTCTCCTTCGCCCACTGCAACAGGAGGAGAGACAGGAGCATCAGGGAGGTTACACATGAGAAGAGATTAATATTAATTGATGGCCCTCTGTTCATTCACTGCTGCTCCTGTTCTGAGCTCTTCTGTCAGTGACCTCAGTCAGATACACTGAGGATCTCCAACAACATCAGGTCTGTTCATTCAGACTGCTGCTCCTGTTCTGAGCTCTTCTGTCAGTGACCTCAGTCAGATACACTGAGGAGCTCCAACAGCATCAGGTCTGTTCATTCAGACTGCTGCTCCTGTTCTGAGCTCTTCTGTCAGTAACCTCAGTCAGATAGACTCATATTACTTTAGACTCTTAAGCTCCAGATCAAAACATAGAAAGGAATCATTTACATGTCACTTAACAGAAAACAGCAGTCAGCTCTGTGTGTTCAGTTATTGGACTTCAAGCAACAGCAGATATCCTATGATTCTGTAATGAATCTTTCACAGTGAGTTCAGACTGATGAACAGGAACAGCTCTTGTTAGGGTTTCTAATGATTTGCTGATGGGCTGTTTCATCCATTGAAACTGCTGGCCAAAGTCTCGAGGAGTAGATTACAAAGGTTGTTGGTATGACTGAACTGCTCTGTGATGGATTAAATCTAACCTCACTGATAGAAAACAAATTAAGTTGGTAGATATCAGTGTGTCAGTAATACAGTATAGAGTGGAGCACACTATTATTTTAATTTCTAATAGGACACAAAATGGTTGAATCTCTCAGTTTGATGAGCAGTAAGATCAGTGACTCAGTAATACAGCATCAATCACACTCACTGTTGGGAGGCTCGCCCATACTGATCCTCCTCCTCCTGACAGGCAATCTGGGCTCTTCTGTTTATTGTTCCTTAAGTCTGATCCTTTCTACTGTCTCTCTGTATATCTCAGTAGTGAAGTACAGCCCACAGTTTCCTGCCACCATGTCCTCTATCTTCTCCAGCAGCTCTGTGACCTGAGTGCGGTCGCCCCCATTCTTGTTGTTGAGAACATGATACCTGTTCCCACATTTCTCCACCAGCCACTGGAGCTCCTTCCCTCCTCTCTCAATGTGCTGCTCAATGGTTGTGAGTCTCAGTGTGTCCCTTCAGGTGAACAGCACTATTGTATGTCTCCAGACTCTCTCACTGAGAAGTTCCAGATGTTTCTCCTCTGTTCTCCAGTCTGTTATTGAATCTAGATTAATCACCAGAAGGAGAGTGTGGGGTTCTGGGGGAAACATGGACAACATTTTCACAATTTCCTGTCTGATCTGCTGTGGATCATTCCTCATCAGCCACACATCCCAGTCTGGAGTGTCGACCACAGTGATCTGCCTCCCAGCTACTTCACTCTGACTCTTCACACACTCCTCAGTTTCTCTCTTAGTCTGAAACTCCTTTCTGCCCAGGATGGCGTTTCCTGCTGAGCTCTTCCCAAACTCTTCCTCCCCCAGCAGCACGATTCTGATCTCTGAGAGACACTGTGGTGCCTCATGGGAATCAGCCTGTCCCTCCCCTGTCAGAAAGAAAGATCACAGATTACTTATCTCAACCAACTTCTTATCACAGATGATGATCTGTACAGTTAAAGGACAGTCAAGCATGTTTAAACTGTACAACAATTAATTGTATTCAAAGCACAACTTTCTCCAAAAGATATCATTGCTCTGAAATGAGTTTGGAGAAAATAAACATTCTGGGATGAAGGGAATAAACTACGCTGACAGGCTTGAGGAACTGAGTCTCTTTACTCTGAAGGGAGTGTCCCATACTGACATACTGAAGGTACCACTATACATACAAGCTGGAACAAAGACAAAGGAACACTAATATTTAAAATCAAGAGCAGGAAGCTCTACACAGAGAGGGGTGGGAGAGGGGAAAAAGCTGCCCAGCCATGTTGTTGAAGCCGATACCCTGGCTTCTCTCCAGACACAGCTGGATGAGGTCCTCCAGTCAGGACAGGAGAAACAGCTGCATGAGAACCTGGAATTACTACTAATTATGGGCCAAATACATTTCTCTGTTGTTCATCTGTACTTATTCCTCTCTGGTATTATCAACTGTACAATAAAAACCGACCTCTGAGCAACAAACAGGAAACATTCATATCTGAGCGTCTGAGCATCATGAATATGAATGGTGTGAATCCAATACCATCAACAAACAGTCAGGTTTTACATCAATCATTTTACCTTAAATAAACACCTTATTGAAATATTTAGTAAATTCCAAACAGCTTAAGTTTTAAAGTACTGATCACTGATCTCCAACAAGAGAAAGTGAAAGTAAATCTCTCCTAGTTCTGACCCTGTGTGTTTGACAGACAGAACAAACTCTCAGCAGACAGGAAGAAACTTCTCCAGCTGCTGCTGTGCTGTGTGACAGAGAAGAGACCCTCAGTGACTCCCTTACCGACACTCTCACAGTTAAAATGAGAAAACTTACCAGGGCTGAGCGCTGAGCTCTCAGGCGCCATCTCTCTCTCTCCTTCTCTTCCTGTTGATGTGGGGTGGTGGGTTTCCTGTCCTCACTGTGACACTGCTCTGGCGCCACATAGATTTATAAAGTTAGTTACCAACTGAACAGGTTCATCAGTAAGACCAAAATAAATCACCAGAATACCCAGGTCAACTCTTCCCAGCATCCTTGGACACTGGGGTCCACACCCCTACTCTCACACACAGTGTCCAGGATCTGTACAGACCAGCAGTTGGGACACTGGGGTCCACACCCCTGCTCTCACACACAGTGTCCTGGGATCTGTACTGACCAGCAGTCAGGACACTGGGGTCCACACCCCTACGCACACAGATAGTGTCCTGGGATTGCAGTGTGAGCCTGGTCAGTACCTGGATGGGATACTCCTAGGAAACACTAAGGTTGCTGCTGGAAGAGGTGTTAGTGGGGCCAGCAGGGGGCACTCACCCTGCGGTCTGTGCGGGTCTTAATGCCCCAGTATAGTGACGGAGACACTAGATTGTAAAAAGGCGCCATAAAGAAATATTATTATCATCCTGTACTTCCTTTACTCTGAGGACAAACATGTCAAAAAAAGGGAATTTTAACACTTTTCTCATATGTCGGGGTTAGAATGATTCAGCATTGATTTGGTGAATTTCAAACCACAATAAAAGTAAAATGGACACAGTAACATGAAAACCTCAGTGTTCATCAAAACACAACACAAATGTCCAGGTCTGCGCAGCGCCATGTTCTGTGATTCAGAACGGGGCAACAAAACGTCCGGTGAGGTGAAGCAGCCCAATTACACTGTAAACAAGCCGGCTTGTGAAAACATCTCCTTTAATCCAATAGAAATAGTGCTCTCGTCTTCCAGACGGTTTTACTGACAAACGCTACTTACTCTCCATGCCGATCATGTTGGAACATTTCTACAGTGAAATGTCTGCTGAAAAACCTTTAATTATTCACTTGTACATCAGTAATTATGGAGACTAATGAGCAGGAAGGGCCGCATCATCAGCATTTGTGGGAACTGGAATGGGAGTTTGTGACAACATGGCGAATGACAGTACTTCCACAAAGTCCAAGTTATTGTGCTTCATTTTAAATTCTGTAGATTTTTTCTATATGATCCATGGATTTATTTTGTTACTGAGATTTCATGTCCAGCGATAGAAGACAGGCCTCGGAGAAGCAGTCAGGAGATGTGATTTAACGGCGCCCCCTCTTGACCACAAGGTGTCACAACAAGTGATGGTCAGAAAGCAGAAGCAGCTTTTTTATTGCAACAAGAAACAAAACAAGAAAATAACATACGATACAAACAAGGACACATATAACATCACCAGGGCTCCATAATACAGGAGAATCACACAAAAAAAGATTATCTTCACTCAGCATTCAAGTTCCTACATGTAGAAAAAATCTGGAGAAACAGCCTTATGCCTGTTTAAAATCCTGTGTCAGCAGGCTGCACAGGAGCAAGTAAAGGTTTATTCCAGCTGAAGGGACAAGACTAGAGACACAACGTTTCAGCTGTGAATCTTCAGTACAAATACAGTACAGTAGAGATACAGGTTCAGAACAGAGAAATTTGGTTCAGTTTCTTGTCATCTGCACAAGTGCAATGAGATGCTTATTTGCATGTGTGCTCCTATACAAGACATCAAGGAAACACCAAAAACACAGAACAGCAGCAGCAATAAGAACAAGTTAAATAACATACATCTAAGAGAAAACACATCAGTATGAACCAGTGGTGGGGGCAGAGTTCAGTAATCTGACAGCTTGAGGGAAGAAACTGTCTCTGAGTCTAGACGTTCGTGCCTTTATGCTCCTATAACTCTCACCAGAGGGAAGAGAGGAGAACAGTGAGAAACCAGGATGACTGGTGTCCTTAGCGATACTTCCTTAGCGAGTGGTAAAAATGTCTGAAATAGAGGGGAGCTGTACTCCAGTGATGGACTGGGCTGACCTGATCACCCCCTGTAACTCCTTCTCTGAGCTTCTGCCAAACCACACTGTAATCCCACACCTGAGCCACTCTCAATAGCGCACCTGTAACATGTGGTAAGGACAGCTGAAGACAGTCCAAATGTTTTTAACTGTCTGAGGAAGTAAAGGCGTTGTTGTGCATGTAGCTCCAGTTACATGCTGGGACCATGTTAAGTCATTAGCAATGAAGGTACCCAGGAACTTGAAGCTGCTAACCATCTCAACAGCCACCCCACTGATGTGAAGAGGGTGTGATCCCCACCATGCTTTCTAAAATCAATGACCAGCTCTTCGGTTTTGCTGACATTGAGAGAGGTTATTGTCAGTGCACCACTCCACCAGGTTCCTGACCTCATCCCTGCAGGCTGTCTCATCATTAGCAGTAATAATAATAATAATAATAATAATAATTGCTTACACTTATATTGCGCTTTTCTGGACACTCCACTCAAAGCACTTTACAGGTAATGAGGATCCCCTCCACCACCACCAATGTGCAGCCCCACCTGGATGATGTAACGGCAGCCATAGTGCGCCAGAACGCTCACCACACATCAGCTGTCAGTGGGGAGGAGAGCAGAGTAATGTAGCCAGTTCATAGAAGGGGATTATTAGGAGGCCATGATTGGTAAGGGCCAATGGGAAATTTGGTCAGGACACCGGGGTTACACCCCTGGTCTTTTTCAAGAAACGCCCTGGGATTTTTAATGACCACAGAGAGTCAGGACCTCAGTTTTACGTCTCATCCTAAGGACGGTGCCTGTTTACGGTATAGTGTCCCCGTCACTATACTGGGGCATTAGGACCCACATGGACCACAGGGTGAGCACCCCCTGCTGGCCCCACTAACACCTCTTCCAGCAGCAACCTTAGTTGTTCCCAGGAGGTCTACCATCCAGGTACTGACCAGGCTCACACCTGCTTAGCTTCAGTGGGTTGAAGCCAATGATGGGGGTGTCATCAGCATATTTGTAGATGGAATTGAGCTGTCTCGTCACACAGTTGTGGGTAAAAAAGGAGAACAGCCAAGCACACAGCCCTGAGGGGCACCTGTATTAATGGTCAGCGTGGAAGAAAGTTTTCCATCTACCCTCACAGTCTGTGGTCTGCCACTCAGGTAATCCACAATCCACAGAGCACAGAGAGCTTCCTGACCTGTCTGGATGGAACTATTGTGTTAAATGTGGAGCTGTAATCAATGAATAGCTTTCTGACGTGTCTTTATCAGCCAAGTGAGCCAGGGCAGTGTGAATTCCCAGGGAAACAGCGTTGTCAGTTGACCTGTTACACCGGTATGCAAACTGGAGGGGGTCTAAGCACTCAGGTACAAGTGTGTTAATGTGCCTCATGAGCAGCCTTTCAAAGCATTTCATCATGGTGGATGTGAGCGCTACCGGCCTGTAATCATTAAAACAATTCACAGAATTTTTCTTTGGCACTGGAATAATGGTAGCTTTCTTAAAACACATGGGAACAGAAGATTGTAAAAGTGAAAGATTAAAATATCTGTAAACACCATGGCCAGCTGATCCGCACAGCTTCTGCTTGTGGCAGGAGAAGCACTGACAGATGACCCGACTGTCTGAAGAGTGGGTGGGGGATGGAGCGGTAGGCATCTTTGATAGAGGTGTATCAGTGATCGAGAGTATCTGCACCCCTTGCTGAGCAAGAGACATGCTGGTAAGATTTCGGAGGAACCTTCCACGGGTTGACCTGATTAAAGTCTCCCGCAACAACAGTTGTTAATGTTGTTATATAATACACTGAGCCTGTCCTGCTTCACATGTATCTGTACTGTATCTAAGAGCTGGGAGACCCCAGCAGTGTGTCTGTCCTGCAGGAGAGTCCCAGCTCTGTGTCACTGTGTGTATTGAGCTCGATATGAAACTGCCCAAGACCATCTCCTGCTCAGTGTACACAGGACACCAGGTGCACATCTGTAAGCAACACTAAACATTTTAAGAAAAGAATAGTTGTCACACACCTCTCCTCTTTCACTTTCATTCTCAGAGTAAGTGAAGCACATTGTGCAGCACATCACTCTGTGGTTTCTGTGGGCTATTTCTTCTGTACTGTGACCTGCAGACCTGTGTTCCTGCATGTCTCCACACCTCTCACAGCATTGTCATTTCTCAGAATCATGAGTGTGTTTATTCTTCAAAAGAACCTCTGTAGCTGCCATTTTGTTTGTCATTTTGTGCTCTTTTCCTAACAGCTGGTGGCTTTCTCAGTTACAAACACACACAACTGGACAGGCGACACAGTGAGAGAGGAGATCACAGAGTATCCCTCAGTAAAAAACACACACAAGAGGACAGGAGACAGTGAGAGAGAGGGGATCACAGAGAATCCCTCAGTAAGAAACACACACAGTAGGACAGGAGACACAGTGAGAGAGAGAAGATCACAGAGAATCCCTCAGTAATAAACACACACAGCTGGACAGGAGACACAGTGAGAGAGAGGAGATCAGAGATTCCCTCAGTAAAAAACACACACAAGAGGACAGGAGACACAGTGAGAGAGAGGAGATCACAGAGATTCCCTCAGTAAAAAACACACACAAGAGGACAGGAGACACAGTGAGAGAGAGGAGATCACAGAGATTCCCTCAGTAATAAACACACACAACAGGACAGGAGACAGTGAGAAAGGAGATCACAGATATCACAGTGAATCCCTCAGAAATTAGCACTCTAACTAACAGGACAGGAGACAGAAAATCCCTCAGCAATACTGTGCCTATAGAAAGTCTGCACCCCCCTTGGATTTTTTCACATTTCATTAAGTTGCACCATGGAACCATGATCGATTTTACTGAGAATTGTTGCCACTCATCAACACAAAGTCCTCTATAATATCAAAGCGAAAAAAAATCCAGACTTTTTACTAAATTAATTAACAATAAAAACAGAAAATAACTGAATGTATAAGTATTCACCCCCGTGCATTGACACACGGTGTAACACAGCTCGCACCATGAACACGAAGATCATCGCAGTTATCGAAGCATTTCACGAAAAGGATTCGGAAAAACTCGAGCGGTTGTTAAAGTAAAAACTCTCACGAAAAGATCGCTTCTGAAATCCCTACTCACCAGAATAATCATTCAGTTATTTGGATGAAGAGCTGATTTTGGGGATTAATAGTCTCTTTCTACAGCCCACCTCCCAGCCAAAATAAATAACCTTAAAGAGACTCCACCATACATGGGGTGTATGGTGGAGTCATACCCCAGTGTCCTGACTGCTGGTCAGTACAGATCCTGGGACCCCAGTGTCCTGACTGCTGGTCAGTACAGATCCTGGGACACTGTGTGTGAGAGTAGGGGTGTGACCCCAGTGTCCTGACTGCTGGTCAGTACAGATCCCAGGACACTGTTTGTAGGAGTAGGGGTGTGGACCCCAGTGTCCAAGGATGCTGGGACGAGTTGACCTGGGTATTCTGGTGATTTCTTTTGGTCTTACTGATGAACCTGTTCAGTTGGTAATTAACTTTATAAATCCACCAGGTGATGCAAGAGCAGTGTCACAGCGAGGACAGGAAACCTACCACCCCACATCAACAGGAAGAGAAGGAGAGAGAGAGATGGCGTCTGAGAGCTCAGCACTCAGCTCTGGTGAGTTTTCTCTTGTTCTAACTGTCAGAGTATCGGTAAGGGAGTCACTGAGGTTCTCTTCTCTGTCACAGAGCACAGCAGCAGCTGGAGACGTTTCTTCCTTTCTGCTGAGAGTTTGTTCTGTCTGTCAAACACACAGGGTCTGAACTAGGAGAGAGACAGGAGCTGATTTACTGTCACTTTCTCTTGTCGGGGATCAGAGATCGGTGTTGTAAAATCCAAGCTGTTCCGAATTCACTAAATATTTTAATAAGGTGTTTATTTAAGGTAAAATTATTGATGTAAAACCTGACTGTTTGCTGATGGTATTGGATTCACACCATTAGTATTCATGAGGCTCAGACATGTTCAGATATGATCATTTCCTGTCTGTTGCTCAGAGGCCATTTTTATTGTACAGTTGATAATACCAGAGAGGAATAAGTACAGATGAAAAACAGAGGAATTTATTTGGTCCATAATTAGTAGCAATTCCAGGTTCTCATGCAGCTGTTTCTCCTGTACTGACTGGAGGAGGTCATCCAGCTGTGTCTGGAGAGAAGCCAGGGTATCGGCTTCAACAATAGGTCTAGGAGGCTTGTTCCCCACCCCCACCACCCTCTGTGTACAGTAGAGCCTCCTGTCCTGACTAGAGGAGCTCATCCAGCTGTGTCTGGAGAGAAGACAGGGTATCGGCTTCAACACCATGGCTGGGCAGTTTGTTCCCCCCCCCACCCCTCTCTATGTACAGTAGAGCCTCCTGTCATGACCACTGAGGATTTTAAACATGTTGTATGTATCTGGCTCAGTATCTTCAGCTTTCCTCCAGCCTGTCAGTGTGGGACACTCCCTTCAGACTAAAGAGACTCAGTTCCTCCAGCCTGTCAGTGTGGGACACTCCCTTCAGACTAAAGAGACTCAGTTCCTCCATCCTGACAGTGTGGGAAGCTCCCCTTAGACTAAAAAGACTCATTTCCTTTAGTCTGTCAGTGTGGGACACTCCCTTGAGACTAAGGAGACTCAGTTCCTCCAGCCTGTCAGTGTAGGACCCTCCTTTCATACTGGGAGGTGTAGAAGTTCAATAAATACAGGAGTCACAGATGGACTCTTAGTGTTAGTAGGACTGTTCTGTATGACAAACAGGTCTTTTCATATTCAACAATTTAGTTTTGTACCAAAATGAAATGAAATCCCATGAAACAACAGTAAAGTTAAGAAAATTCTAGTATCTAATGACAAAAGAAATATGTACTATAGAGAGAACTGATAAATGTAAAACACTACCTGTAATAGAAATGAGAATAAAAATGAAAAATTGTGATTACATTTCTGATATTTACAAGAGATGTATGAAAAGAATTTGTGATACATAATCTAAATAATCTTTGAACTTTTTCTCTGACAGGGGAGGGACAGGCTGATTCCTATGAGTTACCACAGCGTCTCTCAGAGATCAGGATCATCCTGCTGGGGGAGAGTGGGTCTGGGAAGAGCTCAGCAGGAAACAACATCCTGGGTAGAGAGGAGTTTGACACTAAGAGAGTAACTGAGGAGTGTGAGAAGAGACAGGGTGAAGTAGCTGGGAGGCAGGTCACTGTGGTCGACACTCCAGGCTGGGATGAGTGGCTGATAGGGAATGATCCACAGCAGATCAGACAGGAGGTTGTGTACAGCGTGTCTCTGTGTCCCCCAGGACCCCACACTCTCCTCCTGGTGATTGATCTGGACTCAAACACAGACTGGAGATCAGTGAAGGAACATCTGGACACTGAGAGACACAGACATTGAGCAGCACATTGAGAGAAGAGGGAAGGATCTCCAGGGGCTGGTGGAAAAATGTGGGAACAGGTATCATGTTCTCAACAACAAGAACAGGGGTGACCGCACTCAGGTCACAGAGCTGCTGGAGAAGATAGAGGACATGGTGGCAGGAAACTATGGGCAGTACTTCACTACTGACATTGAACATCTACACACTGAACTGGACAAATATATCAGAAAAAGGGAGGAGGAGAGACAGAGAGAGATAGAGGAGCTGAGACAGAGGTTGGAGGAGAGACAGAGAGAGACAGAGGAGCTGAGACAGAAGTATGAAAGAAGGGAGAGAGAGAGAGAAGAGGAGCTCAGACAGAGGTTTGAGGAGGAGTGGAGCAGGAGAGAAGAGGAGCTGGAGAAAGAGACAGAGGAGCCCAGACTGCCTGTCAAGAGGAGGAACAGTAAAGATCTTGAACTTCCCGAGAGTGAGTATAATTGATGCTGTATTACTGAGTCACTGATCTTACTGGTCTGCAAACTGAGAGATTTAATCATCTTGTGTCCTATTAGGAATTAAAATCATACTGTGCTCTCTGTACTATATTACTAACACAGTGGCACACTGATATGTACCAGCTTAAATTAGTTCAGTCTCTGTAAATGAAATGGTTTATATCAGTAGAATGAGATTTTAACACACAACAACCTCTGTTATCTGTTCCTCAAGACTGTCTGACCAGCAGTGTCAAAGGCAGCTCTGAAGTCCAGCAGGACAGGAATGGATGAAAGAGCCCATCAGCAGATCATTAGAAACCCAGACAAGAGCTGTTTCTGTACATCAGTCTGAAAGACTCATCACAGCTTGTCTGCAGATCAGTGAGTCTGTGACTGAACAGCAGCAGCCTGTTATAGGATCTGTGTCAAAAGGGTGAGATGGAGAATTACTGAACAGCCTGGAGTCTGAATTCTGTTTTTTTAACAAAATGTAACAAAAAGTAAAATTACAATCTGACCCGTTTCAGAGTGAAATACCCAAAAGAATGATTGCACTTGGCACTAGACTCTTCTAAAGTGTTTGTTATGACCCCAGGGGTAAAGGGGTATAACATTTAGAATGGGTTTGGATGCAGGCGGGTTTCTGGTGAGCAACTTAGGAAGCATGACAACAAACGTTTGATGCAAAAGTGATTTATTTTTAAAAAGTGAATAAGTGACTGGCACGTTTACAGAACACAATAACACACAGGGAAAAGGAACTTGAGCGGTGCCAAAGGAAAGAAAATAACAAAGAAAATAACAAAACCAAACGGATCTAGTACAGTGAGGACTAACCTAAACAAACAAAAATAAAAGGGTTTTCGGCGTCTTCACACGTCCTAACTTCCCTTCACTGAACTAACCAGAACCAAAATACAGGAGTGGCCCCTAACCTAGTGTGACAGAAAACAAACCTATAACCAGACTACCTTACCTTTTCCCCTGGTGTACAAGTTCACAGTTATCAATAACACGACACAAGTGAACCGATTGCACGATTAAGGGAAAAGGGGTACCGAAGAAAATACAAAGAAGAGGGTAACAAATGAGCAGAAGCAAGGTATAAAGGAAAGTAACAAGTGTGTAATAACAAAACAGGTAATCAAAACAAAACAAACGAAGCCGAAGCTAACAAACACGAACACTAGCGAACTCGAGCTGAAGCTGAGCTGAAAGCTAATAGAGTTGAACTTCTTCAGGTATTTAAACTTTGAGGTCTGTTTTCTGATTGGCCGGGAGTAGAGATAATGACATCACAACTGCAATGATGGTGTAGTGATGCACCAATGGGGGGGGGGGTACCAGGTTAAATACAGGAAAACAACAAAACAAAAACATGGCACGCACTTTCAATTTGACATAATTGCTCTAAATTGGATTTAAGAGATTATTTTTCCATACACAAATTCACATCCAAAAACACTGTAACAGTACAGAATCATATATGTTGCTTGAAATCCAACAACTGAACACACAGAGTTCAGGGAGTGAAGCTGGCTGCTGTTTTCTGTTGAGTGTCAATGATTCCTCTCTATGTTTTGATCTGGAGCTTAAGAGTCTAAAATAAGAGGAGTGTATCTGACTGAGGTCACTGACAGAAGAGCTCAGAACAGGAGCAGCAGTCTGAATGAACAGA